GTGTGCTGGTTTCAGGCGGTGCACACCCTCATCGCTCTGCAGCAGAGGTACTTGGACTCTGTGGGGAAGCTGAGCCCGGCCGACGAGGACGCGATCTGGCAGGTCATCATCACCCAGAGAGCAGAGGTAAAAACAACAGAGCAGTGCTGGATCAAGTACTCAGTTTTGCTACTTAAGTAAAAGTACAGATATCATACCAGCAAACTCAGCTACAGTCGCTTTTTTTGTTGAGCTACTCTCAACCTGAAAGCATTTTAATGTTTTCGGTGTCCTGGTGATTTGATCCCTGGCACCACCACTGGACACAGAACATATTGCTGCTTTATACACTGTGCACATGGCCTCACACTTGTCCGACTGGGACGGAAAGCGTGAATTTCTCGTACAGTCATTCAATCAATCAATCAATCAAACTTTATTTGTATAGCACTTTTCATACATTTAAATGTAGCACAAAGTGCTTCACATGCAACAGAAAAATTACATCCAAAATTAAAATCAAGAGCAACTCCCCCCCCCATCCACTTTGTTTCATGGCATTAGAACAACCATTTAAACAGAAACAAAAAACAAAAACATAAAGCTCCTAAAGGTTATTATAAAAATCAAAATGGACTGAGCAAAGTAAAAAGTAATGATAATTTAATTTAGAATAAATAAATTAATAATAATAATAATAATAATAATTTAAGTTAAGACAGACAAAGTTTCAATTAAAAGCTAAATTAAAAAGTTATTTTAAAAATATGAACACTCGCAGTGGACCTCAGATTCCTCAGGTCGACTGTTCCACAACCGGGGGCCATAAAAGCTGAATGACGCCTCACCGTGAGTTTTAGTCTGGACTCTTGGACAGTTAAAAGACGACTACCTGAGGACCTGAGAGTCCGAGAGGCTTATATGTTTAAAAGCAGATGCAGATAAATAAACCTGTTTCTGGACTTAAGACCATTAAGAGCTTTATAAACTAATAAAAGAACTTTAAAATCTATCCTGAAGCTCACAGGACCAGTGCAGAGACTTCAGTACTGGGGTGATGTGCTCTCCTTCCTGGTCCTTGTCAGCAGCCGGGCTGCAGAGTTTTGAGGAGCTCAATGGAGCTGTAGATTTCTTTGGAAGACCAGGGAGACATTGCAGTTCAACACCATGAACTCTGCACTGGAAGGTCTAGAACTCTCGTACAAGTCATTGTTAAATACGCATTTGTGCTTCGGCGTGTTGCAGACTGACCGACTGTTTGTGTCTGCTCGCTCCTTCTGAGTGCACAGAGAACTACAAGAGACGCTCAGTTTACAGAAATGTCCCAATGAAAGATCGTGAAAACCCGGACATTTGCATCACTTTATTAAAAAAAAAACCCAGACGGCCAGGACAGGACATGAAAAACGAACATGTCCAGGGAAATATGGACGTTTGGTCACTCTACGCCACACACAGCAACCTACCGTTTTTTCCAGGCTATTAGACGCACTCTTAAGCCTCCAACCCCATCAAAAAAGGACTGCGCGCCACAATCCAGAGCGCCCCATACACGAATCCACTCGTGTGTCTCAGCACGACTTCAGTAAACTACAAAGCCGCAGCGCACGCAAACACACACGGAGCAGACAGCGACCGCACAGCGAAAAACACCCACAGTCACACTCATCACTCCACGCCGACGAGGAACGGAACGGAGGAATGAACCGAAAAAATGCGAGTGCAATGTGCCACTTCTAGACACAACTGAACAACTGAGTCACTGCGAACACGCCGACAATCCGTTGGTCCCAGACAGCACCCTCCCTACACGCCACAACTGAACAAAGCCCAGAGTCACCGTGAACGCCACAAACAAACAAACAAAACCACTGACCCATCCAACTGTTGTGTTTCCTTTAAAGTCCAGTGAGGTTTATTTGTGAAAAAAGTTCGAAAATAGACCATTTAATGACAGTGCGCCTTATAATCCAGAGCGTCTAATAGTGCGGAAAATACGGTACATTTAGTTTGCCGATTAAAAATGAACGTATTCGACAAAATTTTTAATGATCAATTATTGATGAATCGACTAATCATGCTTAGTTTTTCTAGCTGTTTTTGTGTGTGTTTGGTTTGCTCAAAGTTTGGCTAAAAATAACTCCCAGCAGGTCATAAAGAATCATAAAAAAAAGTACTTTTTACTTTACTATGTTTTTAAAAGTTCTTTAAGTGTCTTGCCTAAGGACACAACAGTTTTGTCACAACATATCTGTATTTCACAAGTCAGATACAATGAACTCTAACAATGCAATCGGTAAAGCTGGAACCGGTATGTCTGGAAGGGCATCTGACATAAACCTTTCACCAAATAAAACATCGTCAGACTCTTGAAACGATTAAATTGTCCACTTTTTATTCACATCTTTGCTTGTTTCTGTCCTCGTCTTTAGATAAATGAGCGGCGGGAGCACTGCGCCCGTCTGGACACGACCTGGGCGAGCGCCGTGAAGCTGTGCGAAGCGGCCGCTGAAGCCGCCTTCTCCTCAGGTGCGTTGCTCATTTACCCTCCTGCCCCGTCGTTCTGGCTCGTCGACTCGTTAACGCTCCGAGCTCTCTGAATGGGGATGACGGACAGGAGGCTCCGCTAATGACTCCGATGATGCCTCAGGTGGAGAACTGAGAAAAGGCTCTGTTTGTTTTGTTTTTTTTGCAGTTTAAATGATTCATGTTTGACTGAAGACACAAACATTAGAGACGCAGGCTTGTTCACTTACTCACTTCACTTGTTAAAAAGCGCTGTTGTTTTTTTATTTTCAGTTCGTTTTAGGCGGTTTGCAGTGATCCAAAGTTATTCCACGTTTACTTTATTCATTCAGACCATCCTAATTGTTCACCTCGATGAGTTTATAAGCGCTTTTCAAAACTCTTAGAGGCCAGAGTGAAGTTTTGCCGTCACTGAACAGCTAAAGAAAACTAACATTTCTCACATTAAAGCGACTATGACTTACTCTTTTTACTGAAACACAGTTAAGTTCATAATATTTTAGATTTCTGCAAAAACATTCACATTCGTTTTCACAATTTGGGCATTTTTCCAGTTTAAAATGTCACTTTCTGACCATGGAAATACTTGATTCCTAATGAAGAGAGTAGTTTATTCTGATTTTAAAGCCAAATTAATTCATTCCTTGATCATGTAAATGTTTATTCTTCTTGAAATTTATTCCGGTCGTTCAGCACGTGCTTGTTGGGTCGCCCTTCTGACACGATCCGGACGATCCTGGCTTCGGACTTTCATCCACTGCTCTTTGGATTTGGATTTTTTTTCACAATTTGGGCATTTTTTAGGTTTAAAATTTCACTTTCTGACCATGTAAACACTTAATTCCTAAAGAAAATGATGATTCGATATTAAACTTAAAGCAAGAGAGTAGTTTATTGCGATTTTAAAGCTGAATTAATTCATTCCTTGATCATGTAAATGTTTAAACTTCTTAAAAATAATTTTGTTTGTTCAGCGCGTGCTTGTTGGGTCGCCCTTCTGACACGATCCAGACGATCCTGGCTTTGGACTTTCATCCACTGCTCTTTGGATTTGGATTTTTTTTCACAATTTGGGCATTTTTTTAGGTTTAAAATTTTACTTTCTGGTTGAAAATCATGACATTACACTAGGGAATATCATAATTGTTACCTAGCAGATCTCCTCTAATTTACACAGAAATTATTATCTAACAAATTCAAATAAGAAAAACACCTTTAGTTTGTTGAAATCATGTTTAAAGTATCGGGATTTTACGTGTAAAATGTGCAGAACTTGAATTCCCCTTGTATGTTTTCATTAGGATGTTTCGAACTCTCTACTTCCTGCAATTTTCAACATATTTTTTAACTTTTCTTCACAAATTGCTTCTTGATTTGTGTAAAACTAAAGTAGTTATAATCCCACCACATGAAGTAAAAAAAAAACAGAAGCATAAAAATCTGTCATACACACTTTAACAATAATAATGCAATAGTCTTTTCCAGATGCTCAAAGTTGTTTAACAATTTCATGTATTACTCATCCACTGACCGACCAACAACACTTCATGATTCTCGGACAATAAAATGTTTTATGATTAGATGCAGACAGCACACATCAGATTTATTTGGATCTCAAGAACTGCTTATACAAACAGCTGTACTGAGGCAAGACGTCCGTACATTTTCTTCCACTTCATCCGGCGCTGGGTTGCAGAGGCAGGAGTCCGAGCAGGGAGGGTCAGACTTCCTCACACTTCCTCCAGCTCAGCTACGCGTTCTCTGGTCGGCTGTGAGTGACAGATTTGCCACGTTTACATGAGAGCTTTAATTCTGAATAAAAATGATTTAATTATGAATAAAAACACTTAAACACTTAATTCCTAATGAAAATGATTATTCAGAATTTAACTTAATTTTGGAGTAAGTGGGTGGTTTAGTCTGATTTTAAATCCAAACTAATTTATTCCTTGATCATGTAAACGTTTATTCTTCTTAAAGATAATTGATCAGCACATTTTGGAGACCAGCACCCGTTAACATTCCACCCGTTACCTGCCTGTACCCGTGATAAATCACATACAAATTAAAAGCATTTTAACTGAAGCATCCATCAGAATACGAATTGAAAAGTTACGACTTCAAGAATCACGAAATAAAATGAAATGGTTGCACTTTATTCAGTAGAATACGAACTCACAGACTTCACAGGCGTTTTACTTCACAGCCTATTTTCTGAGCAGAAGAAACATTGATCGACATGCTGTACACACCACAGAGTGAACCACGACTAACCCAGGACTAACCCAGGACCTGAAACAGGACTGAACCAGGACTGAACCAAACATGAAACAGGACTCACTGTCGGGACGGGTCCGGAGGTGCGCCCGCGTAGACCGTTGGGTGACTGCAGGTGAAAGGAGCGGCGTAGAGCTCCACGCCCCACGGAGGTAAACGCAGCCGTCGCCCGATCGCGCTTTACGGACACCCTGCTCCCTCTCTCTTAAGTCCGCGAGTACCCGACCTGGTGCAGGACTATGACCCGACCTGCTGCAGTGAGAGCTGGAGAAATGCAGCCGCACTTCTTCCAAAGCCAAATGTACATGGTATCAGCCGATATACCGCACCGCAGGAGAAATCCCCTAACTGCGACAGCCCTACTTATACATGTGAAGAAAAGAAAAAAACAGTACAGTATGTTATTAGGTTCTTTTTCTCAGACCTAGAGTGTTATTTCATACCTGGCAGTTTCGACTGCTCACTAGCGTCTTCCTCAGAGTCACGTGATGTTGCTGTGACGTGTCCGATCAGCTGGTTTTAAACAGGTTTTGGCGCTGTCTTCCTACCGGTGGAGGCAGGACGACAGCGCCACCTGCAGTCCCACTTCCTCAGGACAGCATCCCAGGTGTGTGAGAGTAAAAAAGCCCCCTCGTCCCGGTTTACAGTCCTGTGGGCACGTTTCCGTATTTCGATTGCTTCTTTAATCCAGCGGCGATGTTTGTTTTCCTCTGTCCCAATGATGTTTGCTCCATAACGTGGTTCTCTCTTTTGAAATGGTCAGAAATGGACGATTTGAGTTGTTCCTGTTCTGCTTTGTGTTTTGTTGCTCGTGTTTCGCCTTCGCTGTTTCCTTCTCGCATTCTGTTCTATGTTCCTTTTTTCGTGTACTGAACGCCCTCCCTGTTTCCCCAATGTATGTTTTATTGCAGGACATGCAGTTAATTTCATATATTACATTACATTTATGCTCCGGTTCTATTTTGTCTTTCGGGTGGACGAGTATTTGTCTGAGTTTTCTGTACGGTTTCACTGGTGTGTTGATATTGTGTTTTTTCATCGCCCTCTGTACTTTTTCTGTTATGCCCCTGATGTATGGTAATGTTCCCATGCCTGTGCTCATTTTTTCTGTTTTGTTTTTGTTTCTTTGGTTCTGTTTTTCTCTCTCCTTAACCTATTGTTTCCCTTTGTTTACAGTACAGGGTGTTTAAGTGCTCGTGTGTTCTGTGTTTGCCTTACAGGAGCGGAGCATGCGTGCGTCACCATGAGGACCCACCTGGACCTGGCCCACAGTCAGGTGGAGGAGGCTCAGAAACTCTCCAGAGAGGCCGACAGACTCTTAACTCAGACCAAAGTGCTGGAGGTGGAGCGAATGGCGTCCGCGCTCGGCACAGAGGAGGAGGAGGTGCCCGAAGCTTACCTCAGAGAAGACTAGACCACACGGCACAAATGTGAACGGGGCCGCCACGTCACAACGCTCCGCCGCTCTAAACAAACGTCAAGAGATCACGTTATAAATTTATTTCTAGAACCGATAAATGTTGATGTCATTTCCAGGCTGCACGAACTGACTGAGGGGGTGAAAACAAGTGTCATAATTCAACCTGACTAGAGTGTTTAGAATTTCAAAATAAAAACTGGAACATTTACGGGGTTTTTTTTGGTGGGTGGTAATAATAAAATACTGAAACGAAAACATAATTAAGTAAAATTGTTCTGCAGAGACCATTCATGACGAAGATGTGAGCCAGTATAGCCACGTTTTCTTCGTGTTTTGGTCGTTTTTAAGCAGATTTTTTAGATTTTACCTAAACAAGTGACAATGTATGCCTCTCGTTACTGTCAGCAGGTTTCAAATTGGTAAAAAAATAAGGACATTTCTTTATAAAACTGCGACAAATTAGTGTTTTTGGATAAATCTGCTGGGACAGGGGACACACGGCTCAAAAATGCAGCTGTCCCAGGTAAAAATCGCCCTAAACTTGCCTAAAATAAGGACACAAACTACTTTAAATGACGTTGTAGTGCACCGTTTTGCATCCCAGACCTTTCGAAAGCGTATGTTTAACCACAAACTGTATCACAAATGTAAATGACGTAGTAATAATAACATAGAGGTACCTCACTAACGCCTTAGAGTAGATTCTTACCTCAATTTCTCTCAATTAAAGCCATAGATCCGTCCATTAAACAACTGCAATCTCTTTAAAGGTGGACTGTAACTTTTCGGTTGAGGGTCCGTCACGTGTTTGTTCCACAGTGTGACATTAAACAGCTCTAATTTACATTTATTCAATTACAGATGCTTTTAGAGCTTAAAATTACCTTGAAAAACAGACATTCTGACTGTGAGCGGGTCGCCTCTCCACAGATCTGACCTGTAACTCGGTCTGGTTTGGTCTCGTTGAAGATGGAAAGGTTTAATGTCATACTGTGCTGTGAAACATTCCAGACAAAGCAATAACACAGGGTTCCCGCGGTCATGGAAATGCTGGAAAAGTCATGGAAATTGAAAATGTCATTTTCTAGGCCTGGAAAAGTCATGGAGTTTTGTAAATTCAATGAAAGTTTTGGAAAAGTCGTGGAATTTTAGTTTCTCTTTCAGGCAACTACAGTGTTCTGATAAGTTCTCACTAGGCTATTCTGATTATTTCCAAACGTACGCTTCTTTTATTTAATACAACTTAAAAAAAAAACTAAAAAATAAAAAAAAAAACTACACAAAACTACAAAAAAAAACTACAAAAAAAAAAAAAAAACTAATAAGATGAGTGGAAAGGGTTAACATTTCATATTTATTTCTCAAAGTATGATTAATTCTAGACGTGTAGGTGTTGTAAAGTCTTGGAAAATTCACTTTAGGTCGTGAAAAAGTCATGGAAAAGTTTTGAAATTTTGTCAGTGAAAAACGGTGGGAATCCTGAAAACATCTCAACACAGAAAAACATTTGACGGACCCTCCACCGGAAAAGTTACACAATCCACCTTTAACATGAGAAAAAAAAAAAAGAAGAAACTCTTTTTTTCAACTTAACAAAAACATGTTCCTTGTTTTCAATTCACCGATGAACCTGGAAGTGACATCACACTTAAGACAGAGCTGGAAGACAGGTCAGAGTTCTGTGGTGACATTTGGGATTTGTTGACCTGGTTTATGATTAATATCTCTGTAATTATCAAAAGACGTGATAGTTGACCGTCGAAAGGACTTTAAACCGTAAGATTAACAAACGTAAAAAGTCTGTGGAGCCGATAACAAACAGATAATGAGAAGGTTCAACGTCTGTGGATCATAAGTTTGGAGATTTCTTTCAAAACTGTGGATTGTACAAAGAGTTTAAAGGTCCTATATTACGCTAAATTGACTTTTGGGAGTTTTAAGTCATGTTATAATGTTTTTACCTCCTCAAAAACAGACCTGGAGCTGTGTTTTGTTTCATTCACTCACATATTTTTATTATTATTAGTCTGTCTACATTTTCAAAACTTAACCAATACCAAACTTAACCAAACTTTTTCCTTTTGTTCAGTAAAGATTTGCAATTCCAGAGCTGAAATGATCCAAATGTCATTTCCCTCCGTTTGTTCCCATCTTTTACTCTCAAACGGTGAATTCGCCCCTTAAAACAAATCTTTTAAAAAAGTCCGGCTAGAGTGGAAGTTCTGGAAAACTACAGATTCAGTAATACAGCAGGATACAGCAGTTTTGCCACTTCTTTAACATATTTGTGGAGAGGCAAATGCAAGTTTTTCAAGGTATTTTTGAGTAGTACTTACAACCGTAATGAAATAAATGCTACAGGTTTGAGTCTAACACAGGCTCGGCGCAGTTATGACGGAGCTCGATGGCGTATTTATGCAGGTTGATGCAGAACAAACACGTCAGACTCAGGCCCGGGCGTCAAATTTGGTCCGTAATATAATTATATTTGGCCCACAAGCTCATATCAAATGTGTATTAGAGCTGGCACTGCTATTACTACTACTACTAATACTACTACTATGATGAACTTGTATCTAAAAAGAGATGCCAAGTATTTGTTTCTGTTTTGGACCCATGTGTTTCAGAGTTAATCACAGTCAAGCAAACTGAGGTTAGATGAATGTTTTGTCATGATTTTTGACTCTTCGTAGTTGAAAGATTGGATTTTCACTGAAGCAAGTTGTTATTTTTGACTGGTTGTTGAAAAAAAAAAACATTTAAAAGGAATTCAAAAGCTACAGATATTCTATAGAGACATTATTTATTTAAGATGTTGTTATTATTTTACATTCTGCTTGTTCTGGATTCAATGTTTAAGCAAAACTATTATTAAACATTTATTTTATTAAGAAAAGATTTAACATTATGTATCTCGAAAGAAGAGAAAACATGCAGATGACGTTGAAATTTTTCAGTAAATATTTAGTTTGGCCCCACGACTTAGTCCCAGTTTGTAATTTTGGCCTCTGTGAATTTGAGTTTGACACTCCTGATGTAAACAAAAACTTATTTTGAAAACGATGCTATTTTGGAAAACGGAGGGGGGGAAATATGTTTTCAGTTTTCAGTTTTAGAGAAGAACTCTTAGCCTAAATTTGCAGGATTTGTGTGTGAATGAAACAAAACACAACAACAGAGATGAGAAATTTGCTTAATATAAATCCTTAAAGTTTATACACGCTCTTTTGATAACATTTCACCACTAAAAAGTAATAATATTTTGGTAATTGCTACTCTAACAACCAATTTTTATCATTCTTAAAACCATAAATATATTCTCGACTGTGAACACAACCTCTAAAATTCCAGTTTTGACAATAAATATGCCAAATGTACAGTATATTTTGACACAATTTTGGGATCACGGGCGTAAAAATCACTTTAGATTTTTGCAATCTCGTTCAAATGTGCTGGATCGTTCATGTTCGCGGCTGTAATTGTCGGTCTTGGTCGAAATTCTCGTGTTGCCCAAATGTGAATGGACAGTAAAAGTGAACAGGCGTTGAGTATTAGAACTGGAAAATGCTTTCACTTGTGTTGTGCTAATGCCGAGATGAGGGCGTTTTCTGTTTTTCTGTTGCTGTCACAAAAACTCTGATCTCTTTAATGATCTGTGCAATGTTGTTGTTGTTGTTATTGTTTGATAAATTAAGCACTGAGTCGCTCGTGTTCCTGTGGGGTTTAACGGGGTTTATCTGCTTGTGCTTTTGTACTGTATCCACAAACTAAAAGTGGAATAAAAGGGAGTTGAAAATACTCGTGTTTTGTGTCATGATGTGTTTGTTTTTGTGGTAAAATTCTTGACCAATTTGACGGTTTTAAGGACCTGTATGTACGATTTTGTTATTAAATTTCATCATTTCCTATCTGCGTCAAAATTAATTGTAGCTTTTTCGATTCTAATGCTGATTTAGACAAGTTGTTCGTGTTATAAACGGGTTGTGACGGAGTTCTAATCCTGAGTAATAACGATGGCGAGGTCCAAAGGATGTTTTTGGTGATTTAATTTGAATAACCAAAAGTTTGAAGAGAGTGAACGAAAGGATTTAGACCAGTGTTTCCCAAACTTTTTTTCTGGTGACCCATATTTTAACCCTCTCAGGCTCAAATACATATTTAGTATCAGGAAAAATCTGATATTTGGGGAAAATTATAATATGGGGTAGTAACATACAATCCTGACTTTTTTATCCTTTGTAAACAAAAAAAGTATTTTGCACTTCTGGCAGGCCGTTTGCACGTAGTCATTCTTGCACAGTCTGCATCGCCCACGTTTATCAGCATGGATGGGAGAAAAGGCTCCTGAGTAAAAAAATCTCATAAAATATGGATGTGGAGTAAGTAGGTAATTGGAATTTAGTTGTTGTAAATCTGCAACGCCTGCCTGGAGAGGGTTAAAAGTCTCAAACCTTCGTGACCCAAATCAGTAGACGTTATTTGTAAATCACAATTTGGTATCTCAACACATTGTCATTTTATATGAACTTAAAAATGAAAAATAACTCATTCATTTCTGTGGCGTACCATTTTTAGCCCCGTTTTAAACCCACTTGTAGGTGTAGGAGACCCTTAAATTTTTTTGAGAATCAAGATATGTACTAGGACTGTTAAAAGAAATCACCAATTGTTGAAAATTTGAAAAGGGGGCTCATGACATGATACGCAGGAGAATTACAATTACAAGGCTAGACTTATACTCAATTATACTTAAAAAGGTGCAACTACAGGTTTGAAAATCTGCACTGCAAAACGCAATATGTAGATAAGTTAAAATGACTTAAATTAAGAAGATTTTACTTTATTTGAGTCGATTCAACTTGTCAAAATGATCTAACAATGGAATAAATGTGTTTTTCTTAATTCAAGCAACATTCAATTTTGTTTCTTATTTTAAGCACAAAGAGTTGTTGTTTTTCTTATCTTAAAGGTTCACTGTGTAATTTTTCTGGTGGATGATCCGTCAGATGTTTTTTCTTTCTATCTCCATGGAGACCAAACCAGACCAAATCACAGGTCAGATCTGCGGAGAGGCGACGCCGCTCACAGCCAGAACGCCTGTTTTTCGAGGTATTTTTGAGCCATAAAACCACCTGTAATTGAATAAATGCAAAGTAGAGCTGTTTAATGTCACACTGTGGAACATTCCAGGCAGAGCAATGACGTATCCATAGAAACAAAAAGTTACATAGTGGAAATTTAAGTGTAGCCAGTTGTATTTTCATATTTTTTAAGTACAAAAAGGCGATAGAATTGTGCTCAAATCATGATAAAACTTTGTTAATTCACATAATCTTAACTTTTTTATTGACTCGATTTGAGTTTTTGCAGGTATTTACTTTCCATCGATGAATTTGTGAGTCATTTTTCTCCGCCGCTGGGCTCCTCTCGAGTCTTCGTCACCCCTCAGAGCTCCGTGGATCCTGGTCTGTCGTCGCTGCACTCGGGCTCCTGCTGGGCCCCAGGCATCTCTCCCCATTGTCCTTTCCTCTTTCCACAGCTCCACTTTCACCTGTAATAGTCCATGAACGGACCCGGGGCAGATCTGAGGCTGCTCCTGCTCCTCTGTCTGCAGCTCGTTCACCCTCACCACTCTGTCCTCACCGGCTCTCAACCAAAACACAAAAACAACAGCCGTGTAAATCCAGACGTGGGAGCGAGCAAGACAGTGTGGCTCATAATAGTTTATTAGTGGGTTTTATTTTTTGTCTTTAAGATTAGTTGTGTTTAAATGATTGTGTTTCATTGTGTGATTTCATTTCCAATAGATGGCGCCATTACGTCGTATAAAAGGAAGGTAAAACTTGAGCTTTAAGTCAAGTTATAATGTTGTTTCCTCGTCAAAAACAGACCTGGAGTTGTGTTTGGTTTCATTTACATGTTTGAGTAACTCTGTATTATTTGTCTGTCTACATCTCCAAAGCTCAAAATGCTCTGTACCACCTTGTGATGTCATGTAGTGGTGGTTTTTCAAGTTACGTTTTACCTTTTGTTCAGTAGAGTTTGGCAATTCCAGAGCAGAAATGATCCTAATGATTCTAGTGAAGGTGTATGGAGTTTAAAAACACAGTGGAGCACTTCCTGTATTACCACATGACATTACAAGGTCGGAGTGTACATCTTTAAAATTTAAAGACACACAATGTAACTTTTTTGGTGGAGGTGGAGATATTTAACCTGATTCATCAGCTGGTTTCACTTCGTGGAAACCGTCTGACCTCGCAGCGTTAGGATTAGTTCACTCAACAGTAGGCGGGTACTTTTTTATTTAACCAGTCACACCTACGATCATGAGCTCTGGGTAGTGATCGAAAGGACGAGATCGTGGATACAAGCGCTTGAAATGAGTTTCCTCCGCAGGGTGGCTGGGCGTCTCCCTTAGAGATCGGGTGAGGAGCTCAGTCACACGAGAGGAGCTCGGAGTAGAGCCGCTGCTCCTCCATGTCGACAGGAGCCAGTTGAGGCTCGGGCATCTGTTCCGGATGCCTCCTGGGCGTCTCCCTCGGGAGGTGTTCTGGGCATGTCCCACCAGAAGGAGGCCCCAGGGAAGACCCAGGACACACTGGAGGGACTATGTCTCTGGGCTGGCCTGGGAACACCTCGGGTCCCCCTGGAGGAGCTGGAGGACGTGTCTGGGGTGAAGGAAGTCTGGGAGTCCCTGCTTAGACTGAGCCCCCGCGACCCGGCCTCGGATAAGCGGAAAAAATGGATGGATGGATGGACAGTCGCTGCTATTTGGTCGTGGCGTATGCGCCAAATCCTGCAGGAAGAAGGACAATAACGTCTTTCTCCTTGATAAAATTCAAACATTCTCTTTGTTGCAGCTTTAAATCCTCGATCTCGGGAATCGTTGCCAACACAGAATGTCTGTCTTCGTCTACATCCATCTCGACCGCTTTGTTTACTGTTGTGCTGTTCCACAAAAAGGACCCAGTCAGACGCTTGAGTTTGACGTCATGGCTTCACAGCTCTTCTCTGATTGGCCGGTGCACGATCTACCTACCTGGGATTCTTGCAAACCGTCTAGTGTATTCTGATTCCTGACCTAGTCGCTGGAGAGAAATGAAATTGATCGGAGGGACTCTGTGACACCAGCCTGGCAGAAAGAAAATATCTATGTCTGGAATATTGCATTAAACAATATTAAACTACTTCTTTATCTTACACTTATTCACTTACAAGTATTTTTACCTCCTCTCCAAAGATCTGACTTGTAACTTGGCATGATTAAGGCATGGTCAGCGTCTCTATTGAATTAAATAAGTTTAATACGCTACTACAAGACGTTCCTGGCAACATAATCTCCATGGGGATGACCAGAAAAGTTACATACTGCACCTTTAGTCCAATATGCACAAACTGAACTGGTCACTTATTTGTATGGTTCATATTTACCTCTGTTCCCTCTCTCTCTCTCTGGTTTGGACGCGCTCCGGTGTGACTGCTGAGGAATGCTGTGGGACAAAGCGTGTTTTCTCAGACTGTAAAAGCTGACGTCCTGGGACCTCCATGGGTGAAGAGAGCGAGCAGCAACCCCTCACCCCCTCACCCCTTCACCGCCCTCCTCCTCACCTCCTCCTCACCCCCTTCACCCTCAACTTTCCACCCTCACCCCTCCTCCACAACCACAAGTTTGTGAGCTGGACTAACCATCGCCCCAACAGCTCAGCACAGTAACCTCACCAAAATAAATAAATACAAATAAATAAATACTGTAAGAGCGTGGGGTTAGGGTGGAATACTTTTGTGGATTACACTATGTACATTTTCTGGGGGAGGGCCTGTCACCTACTACCGTATTTTCTGCACTATTAGGCGCACTGGATTATAAAACGCACTCAATTAAATGGTCTATTTTCGAACTTTTTTCACAAATAAACCGCACCGGACTTTAACCCTCTCAGGCTCAAATAAATTTTTAGTATGAGGAAAAATCTGATATTTGGGGAAAATTATAATATGGGGTAGTAATATACAATCCTGACTTTTTTATCCTTTGTAAACAAAAAAAGTATTTTGCACTTCTGGCAGGCCGTTTGCATGTAGTCATTCTTGCACAGTCTGCATCGCCCACGTTTATCAGCATGGATGGGAGAAAAGGCTCCTGAGTAAAAAAAGCTCATAAAATATGGATGTGGAGTAAGTAGGTAAGTGGAATTTAGCTGTTGCAAATCTGCAACACCTGCCTGGAGAGGGTTAAATGAAACACAACAGTGTGATGGGTCAGTGGGACTTTGTTTGTCACGTTCACGGTGACTCTGGGCTTTGTTCAGTTGTGGCGTAGGGAGGGTTGTGAAGGTGACTTTTAAAATGTATTCCCCTACAGATTACAGATTACATACCTCAAAATGTAGTTTGTAACGTAATCCATTAAATTACTTAAAGTGAGTAACGTAATCTGAATACTTTGGATTACTTGGTTTGCTGTAGAGAAGCAAAGACGAGGAAATCGTAAAATAAGATGTTTTGTCTGCTAAAAGAAAATAAAAAGCCCAGACTTTCCTCAACCGTATTAAAAATATTATTGATAGAAGACGAGGAGACACTGTCCGTGCGGCAGGATTTAGTCCTGTTAAATCCTGTTTGAGACATAGTTTAGACCTGGTTTTAATCCTGGTTCAGTGCTGGTTAGTCCTGGTTTAGATCTGGTTTGGACCTCGTTTTAAACCTGGTTTTAGACCTGGGTTTAGACCTGGTTTGGACCTGGGTTTAGACCTGGGTTTAGACCTGGTTTAGACCTGGTTTAGACCTGGTTTTAG